AAAATTTTTTTTTTTTTTTTTTTTTTTTTTTTTTTTTTTTTTTTTTTTTTGTCTTAAAATATTTTTAAATTGTTAAATATTTTAATAATAACTTAAACTTTAAAAGAATCTAAAAAAAATTACCATATATAACAAACTTTAGTTCCTTATATTTCAAATATGATGAGCTCGTCAAAAGAAATTTTAAAAAATATTGGAGCTTTTCACATGATGGGCAAAGTTGAACGTAAAGATATAAATGCATTAAATACATCTTAATTTGCATTTAATGAACTTATAGTTGAATTTATGGAACTTAGTCTAAGGTTACAAAATAGTTCATTTTTTTATTGCAGGGCTTTAGTTATAATTTCAATATTTATGTGTTATTTAAGTTAAATTATATGCTTACTATATTTCATCATTAACTATTATATTAATATGGATGTTAGCGTGTATTTAACTCACATAGGAAATATTATATAAAGTTTATTTTCTTTCATGGTACACCTGACAAAAGAATAGAGTTTTTATTTTAGGTTTGTTGAGAGCTAAATTGTTATTCTGCAAATTCTTATGTTTAGAATTTGCATCCTAGAGTCATACAAGTGTTATTAATCAAATCTCTTGTGTATTGATTCGAATCTTGAGTTTAGAAACGAGTTTGTTTTTCTGTTTATCTTGATCATCAAGGTAATTATTTCCATAACTTTTTCTTGGATTGATTCTATAACACAATGCTTGCACAAACAAGAGTAGTTATTACACTTTTATTATTGAACTTTGATTCATTTTAAACGAAGGTGTCTGCGAAGAAGAACTCTTATATGGGAGGACATAAGAAAAGGATTGCTTTTCTAAGCACAAAAAATTGATCTCGACATTTTTCTGCATCTCTTGCGACATAGTCATGTTACCTGTGATTGAGCCATAAAAAGGAAAATGTATATTGTTGGTATAGGTACTAACCCGGGTTCAATTACCGGTAGTAAAAAATGTATCATTTGATTATATAGCATATTTGAATTTTATCCTTAATCCATATCGTTTATATTTTGGATATTTGTACAACCATCGAGAAGTTTAGAAGCGCTGAAGACAAAGAAACATCCATGGTGGAGACTTGAGTTCCATACCCATATCTTGGATATATGTATGACCATTGTGAAGTTTAGAGGCATTGAGACAAAAGAACATTCATTGTTGTCGAGTGGTTAGGGTATCTGGTTTTTACCCAGGAGACCCAGGTTTCATTCCCGACAATGAAAAACTTGGCACCAAGTTACCATTTTATAGTGACATTGTACTACTATTCTTAATCCATAGCGTTTATATTTTGGATATATGTATGACCATCGAGAAGTTTAGAGACATTGAGACAAAGAAACATTCATTGTGGTCCAGTGGTTAAGATATCTGGCTTTCACCTCAGAGACTCGGATTCAATTCTCGATAATGAAAAACTTGGTACCATTTTTTTTTATAGCATATTTGTATTTTATCCTTAATCAATATCGTTTATATTTTGGATATGATTTTCGTCAAAGTGGTTAGGATATCTAGCTTTCACACAAGAGACTTGGGTCCAATTCCCAACAGTGGAAAACTTGGTCGTCTAGAAAATCAAAGTTCTATTCCTAATCATTGTTATTAATACCATTGTATTACTATTTTATTCTAAGCATGGCTCTCATTTTAATATCTCGATACCCCTCTTTTCATCGAGAGTCACACTATACAAATATTAATATTGTAACAATGATGAAATAGAAGTTGCATTTTTTTCTTTCCTTCGATTCCGACTAGGATCACCCTCGAAAAAGTACAATTAAATAAGTTTCTTTAAAATAAGTTATTTATATAAATTAAAAGTATTTTGTACTATTTCTAACCACAATTAATCCGAGATTTGAATAAGATGGAAAGGAAAATAGTACATGTCAATTATTACTCAAGCACGATCAAAAGGTCACTTTGACAAACATCATCTCATTTTCATGTTATATATATAGTTCATACCTCATTCTTATCTTATAATATATCATAACAGAAACAACTCGTTAGAACCACGTTAAACGATTGTGGTTATCTCTAACTCCAATATTTCACTATCTTACAACAAATAGCCCATGTAAGATGATGGTCCTAAATTTGAAGCAAATATTGAAAACTCCAACTCAAGGAAGAAAAAAGAACCTTTTAACAATACACCTTTTAACAATTATTATTTCTATTTACACGAGCCTTAGACTTATCACCCTACGAAATGGGGCTAAAAGTCGGAAAAGGCATCATTTCAGTTGTACTAGTAGTTGAGTCAGAGTTAGGATTAGACCACAAAAAATCCTTCCAGAATCGCTTGTGTTTACGCTTCGGTTGGTGGTGATGATTGATCAACTCAGCTTCTGATTGCTTAAGTATTTCCCACATAACCTTTACATCTTGATAGCCACACGTTTCTACGTCGTCATGAAGTTTTAAAAGTCCTTCATCTGTAGAACCACGACTTTAAAAATTCAATAATCTATTTCTAGTGTAATTTTGATGTGCAACAATAGGAAGTGGTACAAAAGAGTTAGCCATATGAATCTGATTCCTTGATGGAAGCATCTTTATTTGGAAAAAAAAAGGAAAAAGACACATAATTTCCTCTTTTTTTCAAGCCATTAATAATGCTATGTGACATGGAAGCATAAAAAATTGCTTTATCTCAATGTTTATCCAATCCACCTTTATAAAGTTAATTAATTAATTAAAACCCTCATTTTTTTTTAACTTTAATTACCATAATTTATTTGGTATAAATAATAATAATAAATAAGAAAAATAAAATTTATCAAATTTGGAATTTTGTTCTTGTTTTTCCCCATATATATATAATTATGGAATAAATTTCATTAATTATTACTATAATAAAAAAAAATCCGATTCTAAAATTAAAAATTATGCGATAAAAAAAAAAGTGTACGGACGAAGAGGAGGGCAAAAAGGGAACAAAAAAACAGACCATTTTTGCGAGCTTTAAGACGGCCATAGACGGCGAGCCAAACACGCCGTACGGGAAAAATAATCTGACGCCAAAAACCCATAACAACACACCCTTTAATTTCAATCTTCTTCTTCCTCTTCCTGAACAACCACCCACCGCCGCCGCATCCGCCGCCGCTGAATCGACAACCTAGCTCAGCCAGACTCGCCGGCCGACCACCACCCACTGCACTGTTTTTGTAGAGAGAGAGAGAGAAGAAAGGGTATGGAAATGAAAGTAACGAGAGGTTGTTAATATATAATGAAAGAAATCCACCGACACGTGACCAAACCATAATTAATTAAAATGTTCTCTAAGTTTTAAATTAAATTAAATGTATGTATTTATAATTTTGGTAATGTGTATTAATTAAAGGGGAATAATACAATACACTAAAGATACACTTTTCTTTCTTTCCATGATTAAGACTTCCATTATTCCTCACCTTATAATATAATTTGTTAACTCAACTTAACCTAAGTTTTTAATTCAATCCAACGGATAATTTTGAGTATTTCTTTTGAATATTTGTTAAATATAAGTTTATTCTTAAATAAATAGAAAAATTAATATCCCCTCTAAACTAAAATCTAAAATTATATTCCAATATAGTTAAACATAATTCTAACTAAATTTTGAAAATTCCCTACTTTTCTTTAATTCCTTTATATTAAAAATAAATAAATAATTAAAAAAGAATATATAACCTTTTACATTTGTTTTTAATATCATTCTGCTTTGTATAGAATATTTATATAAATAAAAGTTTATGAACCTCTTGGTGGGTTTTCAATTAAAACTTTTACCCTTTTTAACATAAATAAATATATATAATATATTTAATCATTTCAAATAAATAAATAAATAAATAAATATAAGAATATATTGAGATTACAGTGATCTTAAAAGTTAAAAAGAATTATAATTAATAAATACTTTAAAATTTTGATAATTGCTCTTTTTTTTTTCTGTCGTCAAATTGTTGGGAATTTTTTTATCAACAAAATTTTGAATAAAACTTTTATGCAAAGAAAATAAATTATTAATTTAGATATAATACGGTTGTATAAAAATATTTTAATTGGGTCATGGCTTAAGCCTTATCCCAATTAATTTCGTAGTGACAATTCTTAAAGGACAAAAATTGGTGTAAATTAGGCTAGGTTTTGACTTTGGAAATACAACAAAAATAGCTATAATTTGTAAAGGAAGGACAATTATCATACAATTTTCCATTTTTATTCTATGATTTGGTTCCTAATTAAAGGGTTAGGTTTATTTTTTTTTACTGTTAGATGTTATTCACATCACATCACATTCAAGGTAAAATGATTTTCGATAAGACTTCATGCACGTTGTAAGTTGATAATAGTGATAAGATAACTATACTATGATTGGACTATGTTTCAGGCACGTTCTACAAGTTACTAGATCAGACTCTCTTGGCCCATTTATTAATTTAATTCATAATATGACCGTCGCACAAAATTTAAGAAGCCGAAAAACTAACCAAATTTGACTTTTTTAATTGATTCGATTTCAAAACTAATAAGTCGGGTTGATTCAGTAAATGTTATCCATTTTAATTGCATCGATTGTCCATTTTCTATCCTTAATCCCAGTATGTTATGTTGATTTAGGTTGGATCTTGACCCAATTCTTATGACTTCAAACAAACACAAAAAAGAATGATTATTTTTCTACTTTAGGCTGCCAACCCTAGAAAGAGCCAAGAGGGGAGAGGGAAAGATTTAATTTTCCATGAACTATTTGGTGGGGCTTTTTGTTGCAAATACATATATTTCAATCCCTATATTAACAACTTGACGTCATCTATCTTGGTTTCGAGAGATATACTTTAGTGGGTAGAGCTCTGTTCTTGTTCGGAGTCGAAGCCTCCTTCTTTATTGTCAAAGTCTATATACTATTATATGGTCGGCATAGTTGAAGATACGGTTGATTTTTTTTTTTTTTTTTTAAATCTAAATTATATGTGTCTATAGATATATATATATATATATATATATATATATATAATATGTGTGTGTGCATGAATATATGAATAATGGGTCAAGTTTTGGTCAGCCTGATCTCATACGACCACTAACAATGGTGGGTTTAAAGATTCTAAATCAAGAATATATAAAAGAAAATTAATTAATTTGTTGGCTAACCACCATTGATTTCATTTGTTTGGTGCTATTAATTAATTATTTGTTTTTTTTTTTAATAAATGAAATAATTTTAGTTAATTCCCATTCAAGATGGTGGCTTAGCTTTTTGGGCATGTGGCCAGAGATGATTTTGTCATATAAATATTATTTAAAAATTTTAAATTATGATACTATTAAGATTGTTGTTTAATTAAACACATTAATTTTGTAATTTGATGAACTGAGTCTTAAAATTTAATTATAGAAAATTTTAAAAAATATATAGTAATATTTTATTTAAATAAAGCTAAGTTTAAATGAACCAATATAGATGGAAATGAGAGGTTGTCGGACGTTGTTAGTGATGGGTAAAGGGCGAATAAAAAGGTGAGGTTCTCAATATTAGATAGTTACCCCTAAAAAAGGGTTCAAAAGAAGTGGCTTTTTCTTGAGTTTATGTTTGATTACTCCTTTGACCAGCCTTAGTCATTTAGAGCCAATTAATTTGCTTGGAAGAGTAGGATCGGTGATTTGGTTGGATGACTTGTTTGTCGTATGATAAACACGTAGGGCACGTGTCGTGTTTTATAATTGCTTAATGTGTGCTATGTTATGTTTATACTATGATATATGTTATATGTAATATAAACCAAGATATCAATCATGTAATATAAATTTCAAGGACGAAGTGAAGCAAAAGTTGTTCAAATTATCCCAAGATATTGCAATTCATGTCATATTAAATAAGAATCAAGTTTCATCTTCTTTCTTTGACTCGTTTTTATTCAGATTGCTCTTTTAATACTCTTGTTTGTGTGTTGAGTTGTCTAATCACTTTGAATTGCACTTACCTCTTGAACATAGTTTGCCTCATATATCAATTTGTTTTGGAGTTTGATTTGTGTTTGCTCAATTGTGAGGGTGAGTCCGTAAGGGGTGGATACATTGACTTGAGTGTTGACAAGAGTGAACATACATGAGGGAGCGCTCGTGAGGTCTTTTTTTTTTTATTTCTTTTACTTTCTTTTGTAGCATGGCAAGTCCATAAGATAATCCTAACATTACTAATTACCGAATGAAAGAAGCACAACTAACCATAGAAAAATTAATTTGAGAAATAGAGGAGTTCGACAGATCGAACAAGAAGATTGTAGATTCACAATCAAGCTAGAGAATTCCACCACCTCCATAACGTGCGGATCAATATGATGAAGACAATTCTGATCAACAAGAGGGTGATCAACATATAGTTGGTCATGCCTTGATGTGAGGGAAGGTATAGTGTCCGCTCTCCATCACCCCAGGACCCTGTGACCTAAGAAAACTCACCATGTGGCACATACGTGTGTTACAGCGAGGATGAACGTTGCGAGACGATTGTGTTGGGTGACTTCCTTTGAAATGGGGTTTACAAGGATAGTATTGGTAGGCATGGGTGTGCCGTTATTGTGCCCCGACGATGCGTTGGAGGTTGGATTATACACCTGCTATCAGGTACGGAGTCTGTAAATGACATGACATGACATGGACACGGGAGGGTCGAATGCCTCAATAGAACTCAGATGGATGGATATTTGAGATATCCCAATATTATGAATGACATGTGGGTCCATTCTCGATGACATGACCAAATGAGTTGTGATGGTCGACGAAACTCGTGACTTGGGATGGCCTAGTGTAAAAGCAAGTCGGTTCTGTCGCAGAAGATTGAATATGCAAGCACAGACGATGTGTGTGACCAAACAAGCTTGAATTTCGCACAAATTTAGGGCGTATGACGTGTATTAAGATACTTCATCGCTATGTTTAGTATAGACTCATACCTTGCGATATCTATATTCACCAGGATATTATACGACTCTTTCCCACATTGTGGTGTCTGACAACGTGAGCTTGTGCTAGTCTGACAAGCAAGGCCTAGACGGTACATATACAAGTCCATCTGGTGGGACCATGTACATGTGCGTCGGTCATTAACAGGAAAGTACTCCACATCTAACCCTGCTTGGAATGGAAAGCAGAGCTCAAGGCCATACCATGTATATTTTTACTAAAACATATTTCCACCATGATTGTTTGTATTTATATTTCTCGAAAAGCCTGTATCATAATGTTTAACGTGCTCTCACATACATCAGTTAAATTTATTTCATGCTCAAATCTTGATAATAGGCTTCCTAATACTTGCTTTCAATTATACTAAGAGCATAGCAAAGTAGAACTAAACGAGGCTAGTTGGGTCACCCTTCTTCTTCCCAACGATTTTATCTTTGCATTTTCTCTCTCCTCAAGTAACTTCTGCCATTCGTATCTCTCGAGTCTGGCCCCAATTGCTTCTGCTCCCTTAAACAAGCTTGAAGTTCTCAGCACGCTGAGTTCAAGAAACCAAGAATACGGGTTGAGATGAAACTGTAATATCTATATGTATGTATATGCCATATGAGGAAATGATCAAATATGATAGTATCCTTATATTCACTAATCTTAGTTATAATAGGTAAAAATGAAAAATATTAATGAAAGACAAAATACAATGCCTAAGCATGGACAATATGGTGACCATCACTCCAAGACTACTCTCTAGGCCCAATTAGGCCCATGTCGGAAATAGAAGAAGCCCATTTTAGCTTCATGCAACTTTCTTTTTTCTTTAAGGTTTATTACGTTGGTAGCATTTACATTTCGTTTTAAAAAATAATTAATAAAAAGAAAATGTCTCGTCACGCTTTCGTCAGCTAAATAAACTATAAATAAAATTTTTTCAATAAAATAAAGAGAGATGAAATAATAATGGTGTTTTTTTATAAAAAAAAAAAAGTTAAAAGGGAAATTAAGGGAAAGAGGGCCACGTGGCAACGACCAAGCATCGTTGGTGGTAGGTAAAATGGAGACTGATATTGAAATAAAGAAGAAGAAGCAGGACCTTATTTTTTCCTTTTTCAATTTCCTCAAAATCCGATAGTGGGACCACCCAAATTTAGAAATATCTAAATTAATTAAAAAATAATAAACATGATTATTTTTTCTTAATTTTTAAAATGTTTATAGAAAAAATATAAAATTAGTAT